AGGTGAAACGTCTTCAAGTAACTTAAAGAAGTCCAGACGCTTTTCTTTGCAAGCTCCTTTGACTACGATGACCTGGATGACTGAGAACCTTCACAGACATTTCTCCTTCCCGCTGTGGAGATGATCCAGTGTACCTCAAGTCTTTATTAAGGCATTCGGCATCTGTGACTGAATTAAAATTAATTAATGATAATCCTGAAGCCTGGCAATACAGCAATGCTGAAACTGATGGTAAACCTTAAATTTATTGTACTGATGTATGTATTCACGCTATTTATTTATAGCACACTCTCTAAATCTGTCATGGTCCCTGTGCCTCACCCTGTGTTTTTGCTCTTTCTTTCTCTCTCTCTCTCTCCTGCCGGGGCGGTGCTCATTATGGGCTCCCACCCCTGGCCCACGCACCTGCTATCTCCACACCTGCTGCCTATCTTCGCAATCCCGAGCCCTACTTAAGATGGCAGCACGGTGCTACTCGTCGCTGGATTGTTGAGCAATCAGCGTCAGTCCCCCTGCAGTCAGAAAAATAGATTCTGTGAGTTTCTTTCTGTCAGTCTGCTTCTAACCTGAGTTTCTGTGTACAGATCTTTCCCAGACCCGGGAAAGTAAATAAATTCCCTGTCTTCCTTGCAAGGATCCCTGGTCTGCGCGTGAGTCCGTTTACACCCCGTGACAAAACCTATTAAACCTTGGTACTAACTAATGCAGATTCTAATAAAACAGCATGATATCCATGGCTCACCCACGAGAATAACAAACTGTTGTATGTCTAAAACATATCATCACATCTACAAGTTATAGTAGGAAATGCACCAGGTAATTAACATTTACACGATTTGTGTAATCATTTTTTTCCTCGAACAGCTTCGAATTCTCCGAACTAAAGCCATTATCTTCTTTCCTCTTATTAAAGATGCACTAGTGCATCCGATGGTAAGCAGTGTGACAAAGTAGGCACCAAAGTACCTTTCCTTAGTATTTACAGAAGTCATCTGTCTCGTGTTATGGCTGCCACACAGACGCTTCCAGTTTGAACCATTACAGAGCAAAACCTT